CGAAGTTTCGTGAGGTTCGTAGAACTCACGTCCATTGCTTGTCTGCTTTAGTTTTCATTTCCCCTTGTCACTAGTCCGCTTTGTGCTCCTTGTATCCGTTTAACTGCTTCATCCTCTGTCATAATTGGTTCTAACGGTGGTAAGTCTTCAGAATCGCTTGATTTTGCAGTTGCCATTGACTGGATACTTGGTCGTCTCTTCTCTTGTCCTTCTAATTGTCTTGCTCGTTGTGTTCGTTCGTGTACACTCTTTTGGAAACCTGATTGATTTGTTGTTCGTGTTCCTCGGCATCGTAGCAGATAGAGGTTGTATTGCTCCATCTCTTAAATCATCCATGTCGTCGTCCTTTGCCATGTCAAAATGGGCGACTGTTTTAGGTTGTTCTTTTTGTTTGAAAGTGTTGTTGTCTCAAACCTACTGTATTATTATCATAAACTGTTCCTAATGGACTGCCACGAAAATAATAAGCGTTTCTGTCAATTACATCTCTTATATTCTTATTTTTATATTCTTCCTTTGTAATTTCCTTCTTGAAGAACTCATTGTAGGACGGTCTTAATCTTAATTGATATTTTGGCATTTTCATCTGTGCATTGACTAATTTCATTATATGAAATGAACTAGGTCATCGATTTATTGATCTAATAAATTTATTCAAAGTCATAATCCTTTCTTAATCGATTGAGTATTCCATTCTTCTTCTTAATCACTTCTGAATAGGATTTACCTGTTTCACTTGATGGACGATGTCTTAATTTTTTCACCTTCCAACCTTTGGATTTCATTAAAATACACTTGTGCTTCATCCATATATCTACGCTTGTTTTGAAATACAGTATAATCGTTTTTAGCGTTGTGATATATATTCTCACTGTTCTTGCAATTCTTTCGGAAATCTGTATAATTAGGTTGATGTGCCTTGTTGTCTCCTTCGTAATAGTAGTGTTGAGTTGATTCATATGTCTTATTCTTTTTGGTTTGTTTTAAATACTGCTTTTCTATCAACAACTTCACTGGTATGAGGTGTATTTCTATTTTATGGTTCTGTTTTTCTCTTTACAACATTGTCGTAAATCTCTCTACGACGCAGAAGCAGTTGTTTCTTATCAATATATAATAATACTAATTTGATTGTACATGTATTTATCAAGAAACTGCTTGCTAAATTATTCATTTCCTCTTTGTTTCTATTATCTCGTTCCATTTTCATATTACTATATCTATTTTTCGCAGTTTCAAGTGCTTTAGCTTTTTCTTTTTACCTTTCTTCAAGTCTTCTTTCTGTTTCTTTTTCATCCACTTTTGGAATATCGCTTTTTACTCTGTTATAAACTTCTTCTTTGAATTCCTCCGCTTGGACTGGATTGACGACTTTTTTTCTAATTGGTTTTTTTAATTCTATAATTTTGTTAGTGCCCTTCTTCATAGTTGGGGTAGATATATTTGTATTATTTCATCATTCAATTATTATGAAGACGATTAATTTTTCACTTTTAGTTTTTGCTTTCATAGTGATGATGATGTAGATAATGTAACCATAGAAAATTTAGATGATGTAATGAGAGCGACGCATCAATAAATATACAGTTGTATGGATGATGAAAGAAGTATAATGAATTTTGAAGGAGTAAAAAGCATAAGGTTTAAACTAAGTATTGATGAACTTGAGTAATTCAAAACTAAACCATAATTATAGCATGTATATTATTATAATAGTGAACTTTAACCTATAAAATCAAATTACTGAGAAAATACTGACGAAACAAACGGCTCGCCCAACACAGCAAACATAACAACTACAAAATGTCCTAACCTTATTCAAATGAACAAAATGTCACTCCCCAGACCAACAATGAACAAGGCGACAATTTACCCAAGTGACCACCTTAACGAAAACGATGAATAGACTCCCCAAAAACACCCCTTAAAAAACGAACAAGGTGGTCAACAGTTTTGAAACAGATGGAAAAACCAGAACAGGCAAGCAACCATCAACATCCCACTCCTCAAAATCACCGTTTCTTCCATTCCCCTCCGCCTTTCCCGGTGCTTTTTTACACGCATACCTGCCTACCTACCTACCTACCTACCTACGTTGCTGGAGAGGAACTGACAATGCAGAGGATGTAGGAAGCCAAAGCAATATAGAATTGCTACCCACGATCTGCTGGTGATGTTGGTGGGACACGTTTGAAAACGATGCTGAAATAAGTACAGCTCGTGAGGAAATGCTGTAACATACAACATTTTGCTGGCAGACGAACAACACAACAACTTGAGAAGTGAAACAGAAACAACAAATGAAATCTCGACCCATCCCCTTTTGTCAGTGTTCACGTGTTCTTGTGTCTAGCAGAGGCGCGGCTTCGTGCTGCTGAAAGTCGGGCGCGTGCAGCTCAGCAGTGGGCAAGAGAGGATCTGGTCCACCAAAAAAAGAGCTGCAAGGCTTCGAGTGGCCCAACTTTGCGGCCAGAGAGATGATCCAGGAACAGCCAACAGAGGGGAAGCGCCTCGGAAGCGCGGTTTCGCGGTTGCGCGGTTGCGCGGTTGCGCGGTGCCGATGAATGGGTGGATGTTAAACTGCGGCACAGGGGCAAGTTGGCAGGAGCTCCGGTCACGTCCTTTGTGCCTCATCCTGCAGGAGATTTGTTTCTTTTCTCTTCTTTCCTTCGCCTTTAGTTCCTTGATGTTTTCTGTCGTTTCCTTTTTCTTTCTTTTGATTTTCATTTTCTGTGTTCCTTTCCATTCTTCTCGTTCTCGTTCTCTTCTCTTCTTCCTTTGTCTCCTTTCTCTTCTCCTTCTCCTCTTCTCTCCTTTCTCTATTCCTTTCTCTTCGATTCTCTCAGGAGGCCCCGGAGCCACCGGAGCCACCGAAGCCCGAGGAGCGCGCGCGTTTCTTCCCTCTCTCGGACCCGAAGTCGGAGACGAGAAGAGAATGAGAAAGAGAGAAGTCACAGAAGTCGGTTGCAGAGAGAAAAAGAGAATGAGAGAATGAGAAAGAAGGAGAAAGAAGAGAGAGAAGAGAAGGAGAAGAGAGAGAGAAGGAGAGAGAAGGAGAAGGAAGGGAGAACCAGAAATAGCAAAGAAACACGGTTTCCCAGATCCCTCGAGAGCCAGCTTGATTCGCAGGAGCCTTCATCTGCCCCACAGCCCGGCGCCAAGTGCCCCAAGGCCGCCTCTTGCCTGTCTTGCCTGTCTTGCCTGTTTTGCCTGTCTTGCCTGTGCGTCTTTGCGGGTCCGAGGCCGCCCGGGATGCCGCCAGTGCCACTGGAGCTGAGGTCCGGGATGGACGTTTTCAGCACTTGATGCAGTTCACTTGTACTCGCGTTCGACTCGAAAGGCCGCTTGACTTTGCAGGGGGCTCGGAGCCGCTGAATTTGAGCGGGCCTTGTGCGTGCACCAAGGGACTCGCGCCCGCGCCTCTTGCGAGCAGGGTGGAGCGGCGCTTCCCAGAGCCGCCGAACAGGCGTCTGGACGGAGCGGAAAGTGGGAGGCAAACAGTGATAATCTTGTGGCTTGTGGCTTGTGGCTTGTGGCATCTTGTGGCGAGGCGGCCTCAGAGTGCCAATGCCTCCATCATGCGCCTGGCGCGCGAGCGCATGGAGCGCAAGCCAAAGTGTCGCGTGGCGTCGCATGGCGTCCCACAGCCCCATGTCACGAATCTTTTAGAAACAATATTCCGCGCGAGGAGACTGCGCAGCCACGGACCAGAGCTGGAGATGTCGGCGCCTTGGGGGTCGGTTTTGGTACCGAGAACGCGTCCTGATCACAGCGTTTTGTGCGTGTTTTCGTCTTTCGGCTTCCGAACAAGTCTTCAAAGCTCAAACTGCGTCAGAACATGCATTTCCCCCAAAGACGCAAGCATAAGATAAACTTTTGATTCCCACAGATGCACAAGAGCGTGCGTGTCTCATGGCATGCAACCCCCACCCTTGTGGATAGTCCGATTTGCATTGTGACGAGGTAATGTTCCTGATTCTTTGGCCTGCACTAAGTTTTGGCAGGCAACGAACATGGCTGGCCAGTGATGCCCTTCATGCCGTTCAGATTACAGCAACTGTTGCAGCGGAGACGATGCGTGGAGCATGGATGTCTTTCGAAAGAGATGTGCCTGACGCATGCCCTATCCTTTTTGGCGTGTTCTGCTGTCAACAGGGCTAACACTGCACGCTCAAAGTCTTGTCCGCCGGGTCCGTTTCAGGGGGTGAGTGTCCCCTTTGAAATACGTGAAACCTGAGACCGTTTGGGCCGAGACCAATCGAGCCGCGTCAAATCGCAGGAGCCACGGCGAGTCGAGAGGCGATCAAAAGGCGCTGGGCTCAAAGCCGCAAAGCCGCAAAGCCGCATCAAGTGAAATCAAGTGAGCGCGTCGCTCTGAGGCTCAAAAGTGCGACCAGGCGTTCAGATCGGCCTTTTGGGAAAGTCATTTGCTCACGTGCCTTCAGGTCGACAGTCGCCGCTGAGGCACGGTTGGCACGGTTGGTGAAGGGTGCCGTGAGACAGATGAGCCCCGAGGCCTGCAAGGCCATCCTCAGCCTTTGTCCGGCGATAGCGCACTGCGAGACATGCCTTGTCTCATCTTGTCTCTTTCTTTGTACATAGAGAAATCATGAGGAATCAAGCAAGAGAACTCGAGTTGCCAAGCAAGCTCCGTTTCCTTGCCGCTCTCTGCAGAAAATCTGCAGAGCTTCCATGCTAATGTGCAACAGTTGCAGCGCCTGTGGATTTGCTGCCAGCTGCGTCAAGTTTGTTTGCAAGTCCCATATGGGTGTGTCTTTTGAGCAGCCACCCCGACAAAATAGGGCTTTCGTTTTGGTTTTCTTTTGAACACTTTCAAAGCCGCAAAAGACAGGTTCCCTGAAAAAAGACCCCCCCATATTGGTAACTTGCTTTCTCTTGGGTTACGACACCTGCCAGTCAAAAAGTGCGGGTGACTTGATTCCAGATGTTTGATCAAAGAGAGCCTTGTGCCTTTTCTTCGCGTCGAGCTTCAGTCGCAGGTTCTGGCAGAGTCGCAGCCCGGTGGTATTGCTGCTGGCCAGGAGTGCGAAGTCTGTGTGAAGTTGGAGTCTGCGTGGGTTCGTGGGCCAGTACCCGGACAGCACCGTGCTCTCCGAGTTCTTTACGGCCATTGCCATGGGGCTCTTGGAGGCAAGTGGCTATTTGAGCTCATTTGGGGCCCCATTTGTTGTCCCTTTTGAAGACGTGCCGTTTCAGGTCGTCGCTCGGCCAGATGCTGATGAGCGGCAGTTGAGAATGGCAGGGTGAGCCCTTTCAGGGCGCACGAGCGACGCGTCGTAAGCTTTGTGCTCGCCTTCATACTTCTTGTGCAGCTTGCAGAGATGAATCTTACCACGAGACATGCAAGGGAAATACAGGGAAGTGCCGCAAAACAAAGGATGAGCATACAGACCAAGCGCAGAAGCTCGAGCTGCATTGAGGCAATGAGACGGGGGAAAGGGCCACGTGCGACGGGCGGGCGCCCAGCCAGGCGCTCTCCGAACCACCCAAACACCGAACAACCGATTCGCCAAGGGCGACAGGCGCTCACAGGCGCGATGGCGACGGCGCGATGGCGAGGATCGTGACGCTTGCGACGCTTGAAGGAGAGTTCAAAAGGAAGGAAGGGATGCAAGATGGTACAAACACAAATAGCATATGAAGATGGAAACGAAAAGGGTCGTGCAGGAAATGAGAGGGCCTACGAGTTACGCAGTTACACACGCTCTGACTCGCTCGCCACTTCTGACATCGAGGAGAAGCGGATGCAAAATATGGTTGCCTGGGCATAGCGTGAACTGACACGCCTTCTGGCATCTTCCGGCATTTCAGGTACAACGCCCTCAGCGTTTTGGTCAGCAAGGCCGGCAACGATTGCTTGGGCCACATGCAGGCGCTCACACAGGAGTGGGAGCGTGACTTGCTTCGGCTTCACGTGCGAAGTCGCAAGTCGCCTCAGCCTTTTTGGTGTGCTCCATGAGAGGAGATGCTTAAGCACCTTGCGGAGTCTTACAAGGAAATGTGTAGTGCCAAGCGCAGCATTGCTTTCATGTCCGCCTCAAACCTGCGCAGTCCATCGACCGGGAATGCGAGCTGCAGGGCTACATTTGCGGAGTTCTCACGTCGCTAGCCCTTGGCTCAGGGTGACATGAGACAAATTGAGACATTTGCAGCATGAGACGCAGGTGTCACGCCTCAGGCAGGACTGCGGGTTTGCCGGCTGGACCTTGCGGGCCTTGCAGGGCCTTGAGGGCCTTCAGGGTTTTGAGGGCCTTGAGCCTAGGGAGAATATCGCCCCTGCCGCGGACAAAATCATGGAAGAGGCCCTGAAGGTCATCTCAGCCTACCAGCAGGCCGTCAGATCAAAGAATTACTGAAGTGCACTGGATCTCGCTGCAGGTTCCTGTAGTTTGTGTCAGGGTATCGTACATGTGCGGTGTGGCCTCTTTAAGGGGGTCCATTTGAGTACCTTTGCAAAGGACACGCCCATGTCCTGAAACGCCCACGTTTGCGACCCCAACAGCCTGGGTGTCGCCCAAGTGCGTTCGAGAACGAACGCAACGAGCTCGCCTTTGAAAGCGCAGGTTCGAGGAGGTGCTCAGGTACTTCACGAGGAGGACTCCGGATCTCGGCCTCGGCTTCGGCTCGATGTTCGGGCCAGGCGCTTCTTCTGATCGTCGCCCTGGCGAATGCGGCTGGAGCCGGCTTCGCTCCTTGGTGTGTGAAGTTTCATTGCTCTGCGCGCCGGCCTCGTGTGTCCGCAGCGCGGGATGGATGGATGGACGCGATGGATGGCGGATGGGACGGACGGACGGGATAGGATGGGATGGATGGACGGCTGGTTTGTATCGGATGGAGGGTGCCTTATTGTTTGCGAGTTGCCCTGCGTGGCTGTCTCATTGTTGGCAACCCTTTTTTTTCTGGGTTGCAAGGTGTGGCTTGCTCATCCTGTGTTTAGAATGGCGGGTGCTTGCGTTTCGGGAGGGACTATGGCTGCGAGCTGTGTTTTGGCATGTTTTTGTTTTTTGCGAAAGAAGCCTACTTGGAAGACAGTGTAGAGGGGACACAGGGTGGTTGCGACTTTCTAGTTGCAAGCTTGGTTGGTTGAGGGCCTAGCAAGGTGTTGATTGCAGGTCTTACCATCGTAGCATCCCCTGCGTCCCAAACGCTGCCTAACGGGAAACTTGAAGCGTACATAGATACAACGAGTCATGATGATATATGACCGTGAAGATAGCTAGCATCGTCGCATCCCTTGCCTCGTGATGGTATATGTGATCAGCCATGGTTCATTTCATCATCAGGGATGTCGCGGTAGTGACTGACCTGTGATGTTTGGCTCAAGTTTGCGGGTCCGTCGCGCCTCGGATGAGCGTCGCCGGGTCCCCGCGTCGATCACCTTCGTGTTGGTGGAGAAAGAGACATCGGCCCGGGCAGATTGGTGGGGTCCGCCCGTGCGGTTCATCGTCGACCAAGGTTGCGGGTACTTGTTTACTTGTTTTGGTATTTCCCTTTTGGTTGTTGTTCTCTGGTGTGTGGGAAACCCTGATCTTTGGTTTGCTTTTGGGGAACCTTTCTTTTTTGGCTTGTTTACCCCAACTTACCCATTGTCTGGGCACAGGCTCGTGCCCGAATCACAGGTTATCAGCCGTAGGACTTTCCTACGCGCTTGAGACCATCAACCACAAGCTCAATGACGTCGACCCCACGCTCTCATAGGAGTGTCGTGGATGAGGAGGCTATCCTATAGGTGGTCTCCGATCAGGTCAGGACTTGCCGGACTATAACTTCGAGGAATTTGAGGCAGGTTCAGCAGGTCAGGATCGAAGGACACACCCAGAAGCCGTGGCAGGTACACTGACGATGGAGACGATCGCATTTTCCGTCAGGCCACCGATGATGAGCAAGGACAGAGAGCTCGCCCCGATAGGGGCGGCTCCGCGTCAGGTTTCAGGCAAGGACATCTGGACTTCATCAGCATGGCGATGAACATGGCCCGCCCTCATTCGGACGACCCGGAGGCCATGCCCACCCGATCCCCAAGGTCTCTTGTTCCAGGTGAATCGCAGGCCTCGGATGAGTTCGGGGACAGGCCGCGAGGACCGGGAACCATGGTTTCGGCTCCGAGAGATATCTCGGGTTGATCCACCGGTTCTCAAAATCCAGGTCAGTTTGAGGAGAGGACGTTTGCAGGCATCGGACACGACCCCCTGTTAACATCAACCGCAGGCTGGGGCAGTAGCGTGAAGCAGGAGTCTGATGCCGATAGCCCAACCCTGTTTCAACGGCCAAATTTGAGTTCAATGATGATGAAGATTATGCCGCATTTGCGGATGGTCGTGATGAGGAAGAGAGCTTATCATACCAGAACGCAAGGAGCCGTGCTGCTGGAGTCTCTCCCGTGGAGCTGCAAGGGACCCTCGTGTGGATAGGGATACCCGGAGTGGAAGAGAAAGGGAGAGAGAGACAGCCGGGACGTTCTAGGGGTTTGGAGGCCATCCATGACCGGAAAGGACCGATAGGTCCTCCCACGTTTGATCCTGCCCCGAATGTTCCCCCTTTTCCCAACATCACCTTTGGAGGACCGCTGCACCAGAGGGTTGAGAATGTGAACCGGGGTACTGGTTCGTCCAGGATCACCGAACGGGCTGCCAATGTGGTTGAAGCAGGTGCGAGAGACGGTAGGCTTGCTAGTGCACTTGAAATCGAGGATCGTCCGTCGATCGCTAGCCCGTTAGGGCGACGAGATCTCAGCGACCTCGAGCCACTCAGGTCTAAGGTCTAGTAATGAGTTCACTCCTCAGTGGGGATCAGCAAGGAGGGAACGCAGTGCTTCTGCAAAGAGGCCGTTATTCTTAGCCGGAGGGACCGATAGGTCGAAGGCGAGGAGGGCTAGTCCTGAACCGTTAGGTTCAACGCCGCAGGATGAGGACATGTTTGATCCTGCTGACATTCATACTCACTCAACTCCTGAATCTCGTGGTTCGAATGTTCGGCGATAGCCGGGGAAGGGGCCTTAGTCCGAACACGCTGCTCAGGATCACTGATGATCCTGTTCCCGACCCCAGGGGGCGCGCTAGAGTTGAAAGAGTTCCTGAGAGGATCGAGATATCGACCCCTCCGGCTCTTAGATCTCATTCCTCTGCAAGCAAGCTGACCCGAAGGTTGAAGTCAAGAAGGAGAAGGTAAGCGGAGACGACGCTCCCGGCGCTAGTCGAGGCTCGGCTGAAGGGCAGAAGAGAGAAAGGAAGTCCTGAAGGAGTCGACGAAGCGGGAGGCATCAAAGAGACCTGATGATGTCGACAGCCGGCCAGGTGCGGCAGCGAGAGAGGCAAGTGGAGATGATCTTCACTCCGCGCTTGGTAGGTCTTCGGCAAAGGACGCGGTAGCGCCCTTGACAGCCTCCAAGGCGATGGCGAAGAAGCCTGAAGGGGGTGAGGTCAGATTGCAGTCGGCGGAGCGAGCTGCTGCGAGCCCGGCGGAGGGTCATTTCCTGGTGTTGCCGGAGAATTCAGTGGTGGATGCCTTCCTGACGATGTCACCCGATAGGGTGCTAAATAGGCAGGTCAGAGAAATTCATCAGGAATGGCGAGAATGCTTCAGCACTGGAGGTTCTCAACCAGATCGTGGCGAACTCTCGCCTCGGGCGAGGGCGTCGGGATTCGGATGTTTCCCGTACTCGGAGGTCCGTTTGGACTCTGGACACCAGGGATTCCCGAGAATCGAGAAGGCGCAGATATCGACCGCGGCGTGACGAAGATCGAGGCCGAAGGAGGGACGATGTTCGAGATCGTCGTGGTGATGATTCGCTCGATCGAGAGCGAGATCGAAGGCGAGATGATCGCAGGAGATCCGAGAGGGATCGTGACAGGGACCGTGCGCGGGGCGGACGTGACCGGAGGAGACGTGACGATAGCCGATAGGCTGAGTCACGGGGATTGCGGCCGATAGGCTTGCGTCCATTCTCCGATGGTTGGCGCGGTGCGGAGGTGATGATGTTCCTTCCGAACCGCTGAGGCGCGGAGATCATGTCTCTCCCGCACCGCTGCTCGGCTGCTGGTCACGCTCATCACGAAGTAGTGTGAGTGAGAGGGGATGCAAGCTGGTGGAGGGTACTCCCAGGTTTGCGGAATTCAATTATTTTTCAGATACGCATGGTCAGGGGTACCTCTTGCCGATAGGCGAGGGTACTGATGAACATTCGTTATCCTTTGTTTCATGGCTTCTGATAAGAATTGAACTACTTGCATTGTTGATGCAAACAGTTGTGACCTAGTGTCGTCATGTGGACTTTTCCACAAGGTATGTTGGACAGCGTTACCCCGATTAAATTAATTCGGGGTGGTGGCGGGAATTTAATGCCCGGGATGTCGCGCAACTGCCTTTGTGGGTTTGCTCCACCGCTGACGGCGGTAGTGTCCAGCTGTTTGCGGACGCATGCGAGCAGTTAAATCCTATCAGTAAATGGCACGCTCCACCCGTCATATGACGGGCTCCTCGTGAGGGGGGTGTGATTAGCCATGGTTCATTTCGTCATCAGGGATGTCGCGGTAGTGACTGACCTGTGATGTTTGGCTCGAGTTTGCGGGTCCGTCGCGCCTCGGATGAGCGTCGCCGGGTCCCCGCGTCGATCACCTTCGTGTCGGTGGAGAAAGAGACATCGGCCCGGGGCAGATTGGTGGGGTCCGCCCGTGCGGTTCGTCGTCGACCAAGGTTGCGGGCACTTGTTTACTTGTTTTGGTATTTCCCTTTTGGTTGTTGTTCTCTGGTGTGTGGGAAACCCTGATCTTTGGGACCGGGGATTGGTTTGCTTTTGAGGAACCTTTCTTTTGTTTCTTGTTTACCCCAACTTACCCATTGCCTGGGCACAGGCTCAATCACAGTATATGACACTGGCAATAGCTATCATCATCGCATTGCTTATGCTTGCACTTCGCTGCTGTTTTGGGTTGATCCGTTTGCTTGCTTTTTGTTTGCAAATCGCTGTTGTTTTGGGTAGATGCTGGGGTCTGCGGATACTCAGGCTGCCATTTGTTTGGGTTTGCAATGTGTGGCTTTCTTATTTTCGGCAATTAGGACAGACCATGCGCAACTTTTTTCGAACTCAAAAGTCTAGGGTGTACCCGAGGTGTTTTCTCATTTTTTGAATAAGCGCCCCAAAACATCAATTTTAAAACATATTTTAAACACATTTTGATAAATATTGTTTTTATTACAGCATACCAAAACGAAACATGTATTATTTTTTTGAAAAAACAATACACCTAAACATTGTTATTTTCCAAAATAAATATTGTCCGAAATATTTTAGAAAGTATATGTTTTCAAAAGAGATAAAGTTATAGCATGTTGATAAGATTTATTCAATAAGAAGCAACATTTTAAACAATTCAAAGAGGAGACTTAATAATTAATCATTTTTCAACATTTGGATATTTCGAAGTTGCCTTGTATCCCCGGTTCCTTCTGGAACCTTTCGTGAACCCGGAAAGCTGCCCCAAGCCACCCTTGCCTATCTGGTCCTATCGGCCAAATCCATAGCTTTCAGGGCAAAAATCTGACGCAACCCACTAACTGCGATACACTATACCCGTACAATGGATTCTTCCGGAAGCCCAGGGACTGCAACCTTCGGCAAAGACAGCTCCAGTGGTTCTACAGCTATGTTCGCTGCACCGGCAATTGACTCTCCGGATGCACAACAAAGTG